CCCCCCCCCCCAAACGGGGGGGGGGAGACCCCTGGGTGGCGGCGGGGCTCCAGCAGGGGGCAGGAGGGCGCCGGAGGTCTCACAGCACCCCGGTGACGGACCTGATCCACGGCCAGACCCGGCAGACCTTGGCGTAGACGCCGGGTTGGCCGCGTCGCCCGCAGACGGCCATGCCCCAGGAGACCACGCCCTGCAGCACCCCGTTGCAGACCAGCGGGCCCCCCGAGTCGCCCTGCAGGGAGAAGGAGGGTGGGGGTGGGGGAGGGGTCCCAACCTCGCGTGAGGTCCTCCACCTGCCACAGACCTTCCTTGGCTTCGTGGCTTGGAGATAACGATGGAGGAACCCAAACCTTAGGTAGATCCATCCACCTGCTGTGGACCTTCTCTGCTCGCATGGTTTGGGCTGGAGATGGTGGTGGAGGAACCTAACCCTTCTGTGGACCCATCCATGTATCATGACCCTTCCCTGGCTTCATGGTTTGGAGGTGACGGTGGTGGAACCCAAACCTTGGGTAGATCTGTCCACCTGCCCTGGGCCTTCCCTGCTCTCATGGCTTGGGTTGGAGGTGGTGGAGAAACCCAGACCTCATGTGGGCCCCTTCACCTGCCCTGGACCTTCCCTGGCTTCATGGCTTGGAGATGATGGTGGTGGAACCCAAACCTTGGGTAGACCCGTCCACCTGCCCTGGACCTTCCCTGTTCTCATGGCTTGGGTTGGAGATGGTGGTGGAGAAACATAAACCTTGTGTGGTCTCATCCACGTGACACAGCCCTTCCCTGGCTTCACGGCTTGGAGATGACGGTGGAGGAACCCAAACCTTGTGTAGACCTGTCCATGTGCTATGACTCTTCCCCATCTCCATGGTTGAAGAATGAGGTCGTTGTGGAGAACGCAGACCTTGCATGGACACTTCCACCTGATGTGGACCTTCCCTGGCTTGCAGATGGTGGAGGAACCCAAACCTTGCGTAGACCTGTCCACCTGCCGTGGCCCTTCCCTGCTCTCACAGCTTGAGCTGAAGCAACCTCACCCTTGCGTGGACCCATCTGGCCTCATGCGTGAGCTCAAAGCCACCCCAAGATCAGCCTCCCGCCCCCCAGTGACCCCGGGACACCTCCACCACCTCTCACCTGGCAGGAGTCGACGCCTCCCTGAGGGACGCCGGCGCAGAACATGTTGTTGGTGACGGCGCTGCCGTAGGCCCGGTCGCAGGCGTCCTCGCTGATGACCTGGATGTTGGCGCATTGCAGATCCCTGGGCAGCAGAGCTGGAGAACGAGGTGGGGGTGGAGAGAGAGAGGGAGAGGAGGGTGAGACGGGGCAGCCCCACCCCCCGCTGAGGCCTGAGAAGACCTCGTCCCGCTTTTGGGAGGGTTCTTTGGCCAACGGAGGTGGTTCCGTTGGAGATGGGTGGGTCAACACCGAGGAAGCCCAACTGAAACACAACTGGAGGTGGTTCTCCACGGGGAGCTGCTCGCCGGGCGAGGTGAAGGTGACACCGCAGAAGCCCTTATCCCTGTTCTCCCAGATGGAGAAGGCCATCTTGGCCTTGGATTGGGTGGGACCTCCTCTCCCTCACCCAATCGCCTTCCCCCGACCCGCCGAGCTCTTCCATCACCGACTGGTTACCTCCAGGAGACCTGATGGTGCCCCAGCCAGAGACGGAGCACTGCATCCCCTCCTCGGGACACCTCGTGGCTACTCGGAGCCTCTTGGTCCTCTCATTGAACTGGACGGGTTTGTTCAGCCTGAGGAGCAGGAAGTCGTTGTCGTTGGTGCGGGGGTTGTAGCGCGGGTGGACCTGGTCCCTGACGACGTATCTCGTTTGCCCCGTCCCGTCTCGTAACGTGTCCGTCCCGATTAACACCTGCACGGCCCTGCCGAGGGAAGATGGTCGAGAAATCAGCCTTGGTTCCTCCAGAGGGAACGTGCAAACCCTCGGCGTCAAGGAGGTGGTCAAGGCTTGTCCATCAAAGCTTCTCCACGCTCAGTGGGCGGAGTTAAGGTGATGCAGCCACGGGACCACCTTGTCCCGTTTCCCTTGAGGACGAGGCCAGGAGAACACTTTAATGCCTTGAGGATTCAGGAGCCGGCTCTTCTCTGAGAGCCCTTTGATGGCTCAGGTACCCCTGGAGGCATCTCCCACCTCATGGCTTCGACTCCTTGACTTCATCTGCCCGGCTCCAGGAGTCCCACCTGCAACATCTCAGCAACATCACCCTGAGCCCAGCTTCTTGAGAACTTCTGCTTTTTTGAAATATTTTCATGATTTCCCCTCTGAAAGGTCCAGCTTCCTCTCGCAGGACCTTGAGGAGAAGCTGGAGAAGCTTGGTTGTGGGGAGGGACCTGCTCTACTTCGTGCTGTCACCTGGGAAAGTGGGGTGGTGGACCACAAAGTGGGGGGAGGTTGGCTTCCTCGGAGGGCCATGGGGGGAGATTGTCACCCTACAAAGGCCGCATCAGGTCCTCCAGTCTCCAGGCGGAGGGTGGCTGGGCCTTCATTGCCCTCTAGAGGAGCCACCATGGGGACACCAACATCTGGAGCTACCCATGCCTGGAACGTCAACATCTGGAGCTACTGGCTGTGGGCCACTGGACTCTGGAGGTAACATCCAGGGTGCAAATATCTGGATGTACCAACCTCTGGATACCCCCGAAGGTACTGGTTCCTGGAGGTACCTGTTCCTGGAGGTACCAACCCCTGGTGGTACCAATCTCTGGAGGTACCGATCTCTGGAGGTACCAATCTCTGGAGGTACTGATCCCTGGAGGTATCGCCCCCTGGAGGTACCAGTCTCTGGAGGTACCAGTCCCTGGATATATCAACCCCTGGAGGTACCAGTCCCTGGAGGTACCAGCCTCTGGAGGTAACAAACCCTGGACGCACCAGTCCCTGGAGGTACCAACCTCTGGAGCTATCAGTCCTGAAGGTACCAATCCCTGGAGCTACTGATGTCTGGAGGTACCAGCCCCTGGAGGTACAAACCCCTGGAGGTACCAGTCCCTGGAAGTACCAACCCCTGGAGGTAACAACCTCTGGAGGTACCAGTCCCTGGAAGTACCAACCCCTGGAGGTACCAGTCCCTGGAGATATCAGTCTCTGGAGGTACCTACCCCTGGAGCTACTGATCTCTGCAGGTACCAGGCCCTGGAGGTAACAACCCCTGGAGGCACCAGGCCCTGGAGGTACCAGGCCCTAGAGGTACCAGTCCCTGGAGGTACCAACCTCTGGAGGTACCAGTCCCTGGAGCTACTGATCTCTGGAGGTACCAGGCCTTGGAGGTACCAAGCCCTGGAGGTACCAGTCCCTGGAGGTACCAACCTCTGGAGGTACCAGCCCATAGAGATAACAATCCCTGGAGGTACCAGTCCCTAGAGATATTGATCTCTGGATGTACCAGCCCATGGAGATAACAAACCCTGGAGGTACCAGGCCCTGGAGCTACTGATCTCTGGAGGTACCAGGCCCTGGAGATAATAACCCCTGGAGGTACCAGTCCCTGGAATTACCAGCCTCTGGAGGTACCAGGCCCTGGAGGTACCAGACTCAACTTCTGGCCACCAAACCCTGAAGGTGGTCACACCTGGAGGCAAGAAACTCTTGGAGATGCCCAACATCTGGGCCATCTCTTGCCGGATGCCACCATTTGGAGGCTGGAAGAGCCAACACCTGGGCGTGACCACCTGGAGCCACCAACCTCTGGAGACCCAGCTCCCACCCTCGGTCGTAGAAGGCACCAGCGCCGAGCCTGCTTACTTGAGTGGCTGCCTGCAGTGGGCGGCCGTCAGCACCCATTGGTCGGCGACCAAGCTTCCACCACAAAGGATCCGGCCACTCTTGACGATGGCGACTTGGAAGGGTCGCTGGTAGATGGAGCAGGGTCTCCCACCGATGATACGGGACTCCTCCTCCTCCGGCACTGTAAGACAGAGCAGCCAAGGGAAGAGCCGCGCCCGCGCCCGAGGACCTTCCCACGTGACCCGCCAGTTTGGGTCGAAAAAGCAGCAAAACAGCACCGAGAAAAAACCCAAAACCTCTTGAAAAATGTGAAATGGAAGAGGAAAAGTCATGGCTTGGAGATACTGGTGGAGGAACCCAAGCCTTGCGTAGACCCGTCCGTGTGCTCTGACCCATCTTCATCTCCGTGGCTGAAGAATGAGGTACTTGTGGGCAACCCAGACCTTGCATGGACATGTCCACCTGCTGTGGACCTTCCATGGCTTCTTGGCTTGGAGATGACAGTAGAGGAACCTAAACCTTGGGTAGGTCCGTCCACCTGCCCTGGACCTTCCCTGCTCTCATGGTTTGGGTTGGAGATGGTGGTGGAGGAACCTAACCCTTGTGTGGACCCATCCATGTATCATGGCCCTTCCTTGGCTTCATGGCTTGGAGATGGTGGTGGAGGAAACCAAACCTTGCATAGACCTGTCCACATGCGATGACACATCCCAATCTCCATGGCTAAAGCATGAGGTAGTTGTGGAGAATCCAGACCTTGTGTGGACACTTCCATGTGCCCTGGACCTTCCCTGCTCTCATGGTTTTGGTTGGAGATGGTGGAGGAACTCAGACATCGTGTGGGCCCCTCCACCTGCCATGGATCTTCCCCGGTTTCATGGCTTGGAGATAACAGTGGAGGAACCCAAGCCTTGCGTAGACCTGTCCACATGCTCTGACCCATCTTCAGCTCCGTGGCTGAAGCACGAGGTAGTTGTGGGCAACCCAGACCTTGCATGGACATGTCCACCTGACGTGGACCTGCCCTGGCTTCATGACTTGGAGATGACGGTAGAGGAACCCAAACCCTGGGTAGATCCATCCACCTGCCATGGTCCTTCCCTAGCTCTCAAGGCTTGGGTTGGATATGGCGGAGGAACCCAGACCTCATGTGGGCCCCTCCACCTGCTGTGGACCTTCCCTGGCTTCATGGCTCGGAGATAATGGAGGAACCCAAAATTCGCATTGACCCGTCCACCTGCCGTGGACCTTCCCTGGTTTCATGGCTTGGAGATAAGGGTGGAGGAACTCAAACCGTATTTCTGGGTGAAAAAGAGGTGATTTTGGGACCGGTAGAAATCCAACCATCTGTAGCCCAGACTGAGCTAGGTCTTGAAGACCTGTCTTCTCCTGGTGCCGTCTGATGGAGCCCGTGACTCCATGACCTCACCACCCATCCCAGGCAGAGGACCGGGGTGGGGAGCTCCAGCAAGGAGACCCCTAGGACCGGTCCGTCCGGGAGGTCACCACTTCATCTCCGCCGGTTGCGCCACGCGCCTCTGGGTAGGGCGTCCGTTCCACCTTGGAGATGATCTTCCCAGCCCGAGATTGGACTCCGAGGGAGGTGACGCACCCGTAAAAGAGCTGATTTCTTCGTTGGTTGCCAAGAAAGCCTGCAGGACCAGCTCGAAGACGTCCTCCTGGACGGTTCACCTGGCCGGGCCTCCGAGTCAGGGCCAAGGCAGGAGCTGGTTGCAGCGACGCAAGCGGGAGAAGCGCTGACGCGGGGAGGAACGGTGAGAGGAGGTGGCTTGGGAACGCGAGACCCTGAGGTCGCTCCGGAGTTGAGAAGTCTTGGTCCCGGCAGGTTGATTGAGAAGAAAGAGTGAGGGCCGTCAGCTTCGTTTGGGGGGGTCTTCTGTCGTATCGTAGAAGAAGGGTCTCGCCGCTTGAAGTCCCCACTTCTGGCACAGATCTTCCAGTCTTTCAGGGCTTTGGAGGCATCTCCCTTGGCTTTAGGTGGTTGCAGAAACATCTCCCGTGGCTTTAGATGGTTATGGAAGCATCTCCTGTGGCTTTAGGTGGCTGTAGAAGCATCTCCCGTGGCTTTGGATGGTTGTGGAAGCACCTCCCGTGGCTTTAGGTGGCTGCAGGAACATCTCCCGTGGCTTTAGATGGTTGCGGAAGCGTCTCCTGTGGCTTTAGGCGGCTGCGGAAGCATCTCCTGTGGCTTTAGGTGGTTGTGGAATCATCTCCTGTGGCTTTGGATGGTTGTGGAAGCACCTCCCGTGGCTTTAGGTGGCTGCAGGAACATCTCCCGTGGCTTTAGATGGTTGCGGAAGCGTCTCCTGTGGCTTTAGGCGGCTGCGGAAGCATCTCCTGTGGCTTTAGGTGGCTGTAGAAGCATCTCCCGTGGCTTTGGATGGTTGTGGAAGCACCTCCCGTGGCTTTAGGTGGCTGCAGGAACATCTCCCGTGGCTTTAGATGGTTGCGGAAGCGTCTCCTGTGGCTTTAGGCGGCTGCGGAAGCATCTCCTGTGGCTTTAGGTGGCTGTAGAAGCATCTCCCGTGGCTTTGGATGGTTGTGGAAGCACCTCCCGTGGCTTTAGGTGGCTGCAGGAACATCTCCCGTGGCTTTAGATGGTTGCGGAAGCGTCTCCTGTGGCTTTAGGCGGCTGCGGAAGCATCTCCTGTGGCTTTAGGTGGCTGTAGAAGCATCTCCCGTGGCTTTGGATGGTTGTGGAAGCACCTCCCGTGGCTTTAGGTGGCTGCAGGAACATCTCCCGTGGCTTTAGATGGTTGCGGAAGCGTCTCCTGTGGCTTTAGGCGGCTGCGGAAGCATCTCCTGTGGCTTTAGGTGGCTGTAGAAGCATCTCCCGTGGCTTTGGATGGTTGTGGAAGCACCTCCCGTGGCTTTAGGTGGCTGCAGGAACATCTCCCGTGGCTTTAGATGGTTGCGGAAGCGTCTCCTGTGGCTTTAGGCGGCTGCGGAAGCATCTCCTGTGGCTTTAGGTGGCTGTAGAAGCATCTCCCGTGGCTTTGGATGGTTGTGGAAGCACCTCCCGTGGCTTTAGGTGGCTGCAGGAACATCTCCCGTGGCTTTAGATGGTTGCGGAAGCGTCTCCTGTGGCTTTAGGCGGCTGCGGAAGCATCTCCTGTGGCTTTAGGTGGCTGTAGAAGCATCTCCCGTGGCTTTGGATGGTTGTGGAAGCACCTCCCGTGGCTTTAGGTGGCTGCAGGAACATCTCCCGTGGCTTTAGATGGTTGCGGAAGCGTCTCCTGTGGCTTTAGGCGGCTGCGGAAGCATCTCCTGTGGCTTTAGGTGGCTGTAGAAGCATCTCCCGTGGCTTTGGATGGTTGTGGAAGCACCTCCCGTGGCTTTAGGTGGCTGCAGGAACATCTCCCGTGGCTTTAGATGGTTGCGGAAGCGTCTCCTGTGGCTTTAGGCGGCTGCGGAAGCATCTCCTGTGGCTTTAGGTGGCTGTAGAAGCATCTCCCGTGGCTTTGGATGGTTGTGGAAGCACCTCCCGTGGCTTTAGGTGGCTGCAGGAACATCTCCCGTGGCTTTAGATGGTTGCGGAAGCGTCTCCTGTGGCTTTAGGCGGCTGCGGAAGCATCTCCTGTGGCTTTAGGTGGCTGTAGAAGCTGGCTGCAGAAGCATCTCACGTGGCTTTAGGTGGTTGCGGAAGCATCTCACGTGGCTTTAGGCGGCTGCAGAAGCATCTTCTGGGGCTTTAGGTGGTTGTGGAATCCTCTCCTGTGGCTTTAGGCGACAGCAGAAGCATCTCCTGCGGCTTTAGGCGGCTGCAGAAGCATCTTCTGGGGCTTTAGGTGGCTGCAGGAGATGGGTGTCCACTGGAGTCACCCAAAGTTGTTGGTCCTTGGAGAGAGGAAGGGACCATTCTGAGAGGCCATCCCACCCTGCCCAACGTCAGGAGTCTACGGGATGAGGTGCCCCTCCCCTTGTCAGGATATTTGTGATTAACGATGTTTGCAGGGCGACCATCTTGAGGCCATGACCATCTTGGCGTCGTGACCACCCTGAGGTCGTGACCACCCCGAGGCCACGACCATCCTGAGGCCGTGACCACGCAGATCTCCACGCGGGTGTCCACATGATGGAAGCCCAAAGCCTTGTGACGTGCTCCTGGGGTCCCTCCTGGCCTCCACCTACAGCTCCATGCAGGCCAAGCCTTTTGGGAACCTCCGGTGGTGTCCCTGCCGAGGCCACCGGAGAAGACCCCCCTGATGCCGAGTTGTGTCCAAGCGAGAGAAGACAAAATTCCGGAAAAAAAATGGATAATCAGTGAAAAAAAAAAGGGGTTTTCCAAGAAGAAGACCTCCCTCCCTCCCCAAAAACCCGCAGTAGGACTTCCAGATGGGAGACATCAAGTCCTTGTCATCTGAGGTGGCCTCATGGGTGTCGGGGATGAGTCTTCCACGCCGCAGTTTGGGGCATCCTGGGTGGTTTTGGCTCTTCTGAGGAGAAATCACGCCACCGAGCGTTCGACCACCTTGGAGAAGAGCTGTACTGGTGGCATCCACCGTGTCCACCATCGCCTTCCACCGAAGGTTGGGACATCGGAATTCACCAGCAGGACTGGTTTGTGCTGGTGGGGATTACAGTCGGTGATGGGTGGCAGCAGGAGACGCCCGAGTCTCAAGGTGCTTGGCATCTGCCGCTGGCTGGTCCCTGCCAAGGACGGAGGGTGGCAACCACCCTCCCTCAAAGAGTCATCGGGGAAACATCTCCGGTCATCCTGAGGGCCCTCCTTGAGCCTTCAACGACCGACCAGTGGGTTTAGATTCCACCGCAAGCTCCATGAAGGCATCTCAGCAGCTTCCCCAGGCTCCCAAGGTGGAGGGGTAGCCGTCCACAAAGGTCGATCGGTGGAGATGGGGGTGACGCAAGGTGGGGGCTCTGTGAAGGCATCTCAGCAGCTTCCCCGAGCTCCCAAGATGGAGGGGTAGCCTTCCACAAAGGTCTATTGGTGGAGATGTGGGCGATGCGAGGTGGTGTCTCCTGCCCCGGGGGCTCCATGAAGGCATCTCAGCAGCTTCCCCGAGCTCCCAAGGTGGAAGGGTAGCCGTCCACAGAGGTCGATTGGTGGAGATGGGAGCGATGTGGGGTGGTGGCTCCTGCCCCAAGGTAGAATCCATGCGCTGGATTTCCAGAGGGTGCCGGCAACCAGAGAGAGGTCCAACCAAGGTGACACCACCTCCATCCCAAGCGATAAACCCGCCCCCAAGAACACAATTCTCAGCCAATCACAGGGCGAAACGCTCCACTCATTGGGTCCAGACCTCGTTCCTTCTCCTCAGGAGCTTTGGGTTCACCTCGGGGAGCGCAGATTTGGGTGAAGAAGCACTGAGATCAGGTCAGATCTGAGGTCTTCGCATCCAATCATGGGACTCCTCACGCTGCCCTCACCCCGAGACCCAGCCGTTCAGGTTATCCTTTGGCAGAACGTCATTTTTGGAGGCCAGAAGAAAGGAAGCAGATGTTCCCACCATGGTGGAGCCTCTCGTTTCTTTCTCTCGCCCTGGGTGATTCTTTTTGTCTCTTTCTTTTTGCAGCCATGATGGAAATCCCCGCACAAACTTCTGGAGGAGGGAGAGGAGTTGTCCTGGAGATCCCAGCTCCTCCGACGGGATGGTGGGATTGTCCTCCACATCTTCATCGGGGACATTTCTCCACGGCCAGGGAGTTGCTTGATCTCGGCTCGAAACCAAAACAGGTTTCGAAATGCCTGGGCCTTGCCCAAACCTTCCCTTTGGCAAGGTTCTCATGAGCCAAGAGAAGGCATTTCCTAGTCCCATCCCATCCCATCCCATCCCATCCCATCCCACCCCATCCCACCCCATCCCATCGCATCCCACCCCATC